CCTCGGCGCTGGACCTCAGTGTCCGGGCTGAATGATGGAGGTGGAGACGCTCCTTCAGGTATACTGGGCCGAGGCCGAGGTGCATCCAGCCTTCTCAAGAAGTTGTATAATGAAGGTGCTAGACGCACCTCTATGGGGACACAGTTCCACAACTTAAAGTCTGCTACAGAGAATGCCCTCTCCAAGGCCACCAGCACTCCAAGCTTCTGAGGGTGGTGGAGCTACCAAGAGAGTATACCCACTCCTTATAATCAGCTAATGAAAATACTGAGCAAGACATACATTTGCCAACATCATACAATTGCTTTTAAACCACACACATACCTGTAAATCTGTGCAACATCCTTTGCTTGGATTTCTTTCAGAATCTCCTGGCTGAGGTGAGGATCACTTGGTTTTGGAGGTGGTGGTGGGGAAGGAGGGCACCGTACGTGTCCATAGTAGCCGATCAAAACCCCCAAAATAAATAGACTCAAAGCAGTGCAAAATAGCTTAAATATCCAGCAAAAGCTGTAGTGGTTGCTCTTTGGTGGAGGCCTTGTATAATGGGAGACGTAATCTGGATCTTCCTGAAGCCTCTGGAACCTCCCTTTGGGAGATGCCGATGGCTGGATGGGCTCCAGATCCAGGTCCGTGTTTTGAGTAATTCCCACTTGTTGATGGACTGTCCCATCCAGCCGGAAATGGTCAAAGCCGGGCTCCTCCAGTTCTTTCTCCATATCCCATTCTAGCTCCAGGGAAGTGGCTTGGAGGTCATCACTATCTAGATATTGTGCCCTCTGGTCTGCGCCGACTTTGTGGTACGCCATCTTTTTACCTGTGGGTTAAAAGGATAAAGTCAACCCAAAGGCAATGAATTGTTTTAAACAGAGTTCTAGGTTGTTCTTTAATGCATTGATCAGATGCAGATTCATAAATGTCGAGAGATTTGTAGTGATCTGGTATTCTAGCCTCTTTTATAAGTAGCTTTCATATTTTTAAAAAATCTCCAAACTGTGTAACTTTATTTATTTGGAATTCCCTCCCTCCCTTTCCATTATATCTCTGCTGCCCTTTTTGTTGCTTATTTGTTCCTTTTTCAGCAAAGCTTTTAAGTGGAGAGTCCAGTCTGTATTGTTCATTTATTAATCAGGATTTGTATGCTGCTTAGGGGGTAACCCAAACCCAGGACTGAGTGGAGTTCAGAAAAGGTGGATCTCTGGCTGAGGTCTGCAAAAGGAGAGCAGAGGAAGCGAAGACCCCATTTAAAAATGTGCAGGGTTGGGACTTCTCTTATCTTGGGGTTGCTAAGATGCCAATCAGCTCTCGGCTGCCAGGTATGCTTGCCAATCAGGTCAAGGCCACTGGCATTTGAAACGCTATTTAAAATGCCTCCTTAGTTTGAAAATACTAACGGTGAACCATCCAGAAGGGAATCCCTTTTTATGCCTGGCTTTCTCCTGTTGGGGAATAAGTGAAATTATGAATCTGAGAGCTCACAGACACACCTCTGCTCACCCCATGCCTAGAAAAGGTTAGTAGCCCAAGCGGTTTTCTGCTTGCCCCATGCTTTCCAGACATGAGTCCAAATGGTTTTGCCTCCCCCCCCCCCCCGCTTTCTCCTGAAAAATCCACTCTTTAGTGCTAAATTAGAGTAAATGTCGATCCAGGGAAAACCCAATTGGTTTTCTGTGTGGGTTTTCCTGGGTGAAAGCAGTAGCGCAAATGGAAGTGAAGATGAGCCCTGACTGAGGTCTCAGTGTCTTGTCGTGCTCCTTCCCATTGTATCTGGTCCCCTCCGAAGGTTTTTGGACTATGACTCCCATCAGCCCTGGCAGGCATGACCAAAGATGCAAGTTGTTGCTTATAGTGCTTCTCAGTAAAAAGAATGATTCAGGGAGGATAAAAAAGCATTTTGCCAGTCATCTACCCAAGTAAGGAAGTGCTGGCTTATGTTGAAACTTCCAGGGTGACATTTTGTTCTCTTTAATTGGTCAACAAAAGCCTTCCATCTGGACAGAATGCTTTATTCGTTACCTGTATATAAATGCGCAGTTCTTGAATGTCTCGTTAATTTACTTGGAATTTGTCCTGCTGATCTGATTTAATCTCCTCCAGTTACTTGTTGGGTTCCCCCCTCCTTCGTCTCTCTCCCATTTTAAATGAATCAAAGTCACTGCCTGGTTGGTATTCTTAGCAAAATGGTTTCCTTAATGGCAAAGTATGACAGTGGCAGTTCCAGGCATATTTCTATCTCAACACGCGCACCCTCAAAGTAGAACTCTGACCTCTAATCTAAACATTCAAAGTCAATTCCCTACAAATCATTTTCTAAACTGACTGCAGGGACGAGACATCGTTTTCATTCATACTTTGACAATAGACATTCCATCACATAAGCAGCGGCAATTTAACGCTTTTCAAACAGCAGACAGACCCATCAATTAGAATGAAATGCAGATACAGATATTAACTCCTCAATGTGACGGGTATCTGACTGACACCCGCATCGCGGCCTCCTCCCACTCCTTGTTACACATTAATAAATTTTCTTTATCTAAGATCCATCTTCCAGATAGCGTTTTCTGGGTCACATATTGGATGAACCTACTTATATGCGGCAGCACAGAGAGGGAGTTGAGCAATCGTATTTGAAAAGGAGAGAAAGGAGATTACAAAATACTCCAAAATGCAGAAACAGCCCACTGTATGTTAACACAAGAGAGGGAGAGAGAGGGGGGGGCACCCTATCTAGATCTACACTGCTCCTAATTTGCAAATCCTATTTCCTTACAAAGGATTAGCCATTTGGAGGTCCTCGCCCACCGACGGTGCCCCAAATGACATTGCTAATAGACTTGCCACCAGCACCAGCATATAATAACTCTTCAATGATAAAATGTTTTGTAAACCCAGCACACACCCAGCCAGTGTGGTGTAGTGGTTAAGAGCGGTAGTCTCGTAATCTGGGAAACCGGGTTCGCGTCTCCGCTCCTCCACATGCAGCTGCTGGGTGACCTTGGGCCAGTCACACTTCTTTGAAGTCTCTCAGCCCCACTCACCTCACAGAGTGTTTGTTGTGGGTGAGGAAGGGAAAGGAAAATGTTAGCCGTTTTGAGACTCCTGAAGGGGAGTGAAAGGCGGGATATCAAATCCAAACTCCTCCTCCTCTTCTTCTTCTTCTTCTTCTTCTTCTTCTTCTTCTTCTTCTTCTTCTTCAGTTGTTCTCCTGTCCAGTTGCTGTTGCTCATAAAGTGGTTCTATCAACATCGCAAATATCTGGGCTCTACCAGTGTTAGGAGACATATGGCAGAAAAAAATCACCAATTGCCATCACTCTAGAGTCCAGCAGTGAACAGGTCACTGAATCATAGGCAGAGGTGGTGAACTAGGTTTGGCTTTAAGCATGATAGTGGTGATCAGGGACTCACTGAATCCAAGGCTAGCAAGCAGGAAGCAGTTGAACTGGATCCCACAGTGCCAGGGCCTATACTGCTTGGTACTACATTAACCTCACAGTTGGATTACTACAACGTACTCTGTGTTGGGCTACCCTTGAAGTTGGTCTGGAGGTTGCAGCTGTTGCAGAATGTGGCAGCTAGGTTGCTTGTTTGGCCAAACTTCTGCCAGCATAAAACACCTTCCTTGTCAAAGCTGCACTGGCTGCTAATCTGCTACCCGGCCAAATTCAATGTGATGGTACTAAGGCCCTATACAAGGTTCTTGAGCGGTGGTTGTGGACCAGATCCAGACACTCCTGGAGGAAACTGATTTTCTAGATCCATCTCCATTGGAGTTTAGGCCCAGTTTTGGCACAGAAACTGCTTTGGTTGAGAGAGAAATGGGGAAAATTTGTCTATGTTAATTCCCCTCAACCTCTCATTGACTTTCAATAAACACTGACCATAGTATCCTCCTGGAGCACCTATCCAACTTGGGCGTGGGTGGCACCACTTTGCAGTGGTTCCAGACCTACTTGGATGGTTGTTTCTAAAGGATGATGTTTGGGGCATGCTCTTCAGCCCTGTGGAGCGTTCAACGTGGGGTTCTTGAAGGCTTGATTTTATCCCACATCTACATGAAACTGCAGAGTGGGGTCATCCAGAGTTTCGGAGTATGTTGTCAGCAACATGCTGATGACACACACAGCTCTAGTTCTCCTTTACGTCTGCAGATGAGGCAGTGTATATACTGAACTGATGTCTTGTCTTAGTAATGGACTGAACGAGAGCCAACAAACTGATGCTCAATCTGGATAAGACTGTGGATGGTTCCCTTGACCAGATGGATGGGAGGTTGCCTGTTCTTGATGGGGTTACACTTCCTCTGAAGGAGCAGGTACACAGTTTGGGGGTGCTTCTGGACCCTTTGCTGTCACTTGAGGCTCTGTGCCCTATATGGACAGGGATAACCTACCTTCTGTCATCTATGCTATGGTAACCCATAGGTTAGATTACTGCAATGGGGCTGCCTCGGATGGTGGTTCAGAAACTTCAGCTGGTGCAGAATTCAGCAGCTAGGTTGCTCACCGGGGCAAGACACTGATCCTGGTCCAACCGCACTGGCTGCCAAATGGTTTCTGGGCTGAATTCAAAGTGCTGGTTTTGATCTATAAAGCCTTAAATGTCTCAGGACCACAATAACTAAAGGCCCGCCTCTCCCCATATGAACTGACCTGGTTTATATTCCTATAGTAAACATATTCTTATAGTAGAATCTCCAAACCATACAAGAATGACCTAGTTAAGAGGAACCAATAGTTTTCAGGTGCTTTATAAATAATTTATGTAGAGTTTATGTGGATTAAAGAGAGCACTGGAAACATCAATTTGCAATAAGGTTCCATTTGTGCTATACAATTAAAGCAGTATCATAATAATTTAAGCGGCCGTGGTTTCCCCCAAAGAATATTGGGAACTGTAGTTGCTTAAGGGTGCTTAGAGTTGCAATGAGACACTTATTTTCCTTGCATAACTAGAATTACCAGAGTACCCTTTTACAGGGAATTCAGCGACAATCTGGGATAGCTCAGCCGATAGAGCATGAGACTCTTAATGCAATCAATGGTCATGGGTTGAAGCCCCATGTTGGGCAAAAGATTCCTGCATGGGGGGGGGTGTGGACTAGATGACACCCCCCATGGAACTTGCCGCTTTGCAATTTTATGATTCTATTGTTAAATCACTCTATGAACTGTAGCTCTTTGAAAGGGAATCAGGGTCTTTCGTAACAACTCTCAGCACCTTTGACACATTGTCACGGTCCGGTTTACGGGTGATCGAAGTCCTGGCTGGGGACATCGGGACCGGAGGCAAGATGGCGGGGTGGGAGCAGGAACGGGAGTCCAGAAGCCAGGAGTCAGGAAGTCAAGAGCCTGAGGGTCAGAGAGCCGGGAGTCATGAAGTCAAGGGTCCGAGGATCAAGAAGTGAGGAGTCACAAAGTCAAGGGTCCAAGGAGCAAGGAGTCACGAAGTCAAGGGTCCGAGGATCAAGGAGCCAAACGCAACAAGGCTGGAAACATGTTGCTGTGGCAAAAAGCCAAAGGGAAATGCTGACCTTATATCCCTTCCCGGCTCTTGCCACCAGGTGCTGTGAGTTACTAATCGGCCTCACCTGTGCGGCCGTGCCTTGCCTCTTCAGAACAAACTTAGGAAGGCCCCAGTCCTGCAAAGTCCTACTGGTCACAGGGCCTGGCTCCTACATGCACTCCTGACACACATGACAGTTCCCAGAATTCTTTGGGGGAAACCAAGACAGTTTAAAGTGGTATGATGCTATTTTAAATGTGTAGTGCAGATGGAGTCTAACTCTGAGCCAGAGAGTAGTATCACGGTTACGTGAAATAGCACCCCGCCCATGATGTGTTTTCTATCCAGTCAGCTGCAAAGCACAGAAGTCCTTGATCACCCACATGCCAATATTTGTGTGGATTGCCTCCACTTAAAACAGCAGTAAGGAATGGGTATTCCTCAAGCTGTTGTTTACTGACAAATCGGATTATCTCTGACCATTGACCATGCTGGCTGAATCTGATGGGACTTGTTGTCCAGCAAGATCCAATGAGGGCTGCAGGTTATGCACCTCTATTTCAAAAAATCATAACATGACACCACACCACATGGAATCGATAGACAGCCCTCAGAAACAATGTTTTGTGTACATGCTACAGCAAAAGCAAAGCCAAACATGGAAGGCTCTAAAATGCTTATTTTTATGGCACTGGAAGTAAGAAGTCAGCATTCCCGCACAGCTGCCTTCATCCTAGTCTGCATATAAAACAGAACGCAGCGGCAGCATGTCAAATCAAATGGTTGTAAGTGCTGACTCTTAGCAAAACAAAACCAAAAAAATAAAACAACACACACAAAAAACCAAAAACACAGAAGCCAACATATATCGGCAGCGTCCAAGCACTCTGCATTTACAACAGTTTTAAAGGAATATTTTGGTCAGGAGGATGCATGCTAATCAAGAATGCTTAAGTATCTGTCCACGTAAGCATATCATAAAAATGGTATAAAATTGCATTTAATGGCTGCTACTCTGAATAAGCAATAACCATTTTTCTATGTTGCATATCGCAGCTATTTCCCACTGAAAGGGAGTACTCAGAGGAGGGCTTTTTCCTCCTTTAATTGGAAAGGGTTCTCTAAATAAGATCAAGATTTCCTAAGGAGCACTCATTTTCTCACGGGAAATTCATGCACTAACAAAAACGCTTTCAGGAGAGCTTCACAATTGTGTAGCTGGAGGAGGTATAGAAAAGGACCTGCATTAGGCAGACTGAGATGGTAGGATGAAAGGGCAGTGGGTTTTTTCCAGTGAGTTAATTCATTATTACAACATTTCCCCCCACCAAAGAAACACCTGTGTGTTTGTAATATTCTGTTGGGAGCCACCCAGTGTGGCCCAGCCAGATGGGTGGTGGTGGTGGTGGTTGTTAACAAACTACAGTTCCCAACGTGCTTTGGGGGAAGCCATGACTGTTCAGGTCATTTAATAATGCTTTAAATGTAAAGTATGAATGTGACCTTTGACTATGGACCTTTGCCATTCCACCTCAGGCAGTGAAATGACTTGGGTTGGTCCTACGTGGGCATTTGCAAAGCCTCTCTGAGAAATGTCATTATTTGTTCATCTTTACTAGTCACCTCATAAAACTGAATTCTCTAGGTGAAATGCAGCATTAAACAGACACGCCAAAATACGATCAGCTCAACCCTAAAATCCAAGCCAGAGTGAGAAAGTAATACAAATTGTATTATTTATAAAAAAGTATTTCCACACCACCACATCGCAAAATATCAAGCTGGCCGTGTAAGCAAACATACCGTACAACATGTACGAAGACTGAAATCACCTCACAAGGGCGAAAAACCAACTAGCATTGGCATGCTTTGTACAGTCCTGGACACCTCACACCAAAAGGAATATTCTAGAATTGGAAAAGGTTCAGCCCAAATTATCAAGGGAATGGAGTGACTCCCCCCTCCCCCATGAAGAAAGGTCTTTTTAATTTAGATAAAGCTAAGAGGTGACACGATAGAAGTCTATAAAATTATTCATAGCATGGAGAATGTGGATAGAGAAAAGTTTCAATCTCTTTCATGTAACAGCTAAATGTTGGAAGATTCGCGACAGATAAAAGAGAGTGCTTCTTCATGAAGTGTGTAGCTAAACTGTGGAACTCTCTCCCACTGGAAGATGTGATGGCCACCAACTTGGAAGGCTTTAAGTTGGACAAATTCATGGAGAGCAAAGGTATCAATGGCTACTAGCGATCGATTCCCACCCATGGGAGAAAGGACAGAGATGCTCCAATCATGTGATCTAAACACATGGATATACCATAGGCTATTTTAAATTTGGGGGATTTGCAAAAGCTGAGGTTGTGCAAGGGAGATGAAGTACTACTTGTGGTGTTCCCCCACCCTCCAAAAAAACTACTGTCGGAGTGCATTAAAATACATATCTAAATTTTAACTGCAATCAACAAGATTTATGTTTTCTTAATTTTGAAGCCACTGTGTGCAGGTAGTAATCATTTTCTTTCTTTCGTGAAGCACAGGTATGCATGATATCCGCACATGACTAATGCAAGCCACACTTGCACCCCATTATACAATATATTTCTCAGTGAATACTGGTGTGTGACAGCTGAAGTAGGTGCAGCAGGTTGCTATGACAACTGCTGTGGGTGGAAACTAAGGCAAGTATATTTATTTTCACAACGTATGTGCATACACAAGCATACATCCTAAATCCATAACCCCCATTAGGATGTGTATGAAGAGTCTGGCATCTTGCGAAAGGCTCACTTTTGGCAGATGTTACACCCGTGGAAGTAGACAAATTGTATTTAAGTGAATCTGTATTGACAATTATAGAAACTTGGTTGTTTGAAGTGGCTTTCTCATGGCCGTATTGATTTTCCCGTGAAGTGTGTTCTTCCTTCTATCCATGCTTCCTTCTCAGGTTTTCAGTTCAAACCCCTCAGGTTCAGTCTATTCCTGTGGTTTCTTTTTTTAATCTGACCTGGGAAGAAAATCTCATACAGGGTCTAGGGGACAAAGAGGATGTGCGCTGTTGATAGGAAGGGGAGAGACTGGACAAGTTGTGGACTGAGGTCCAGAATGTCAAGGGTGACACAGAATTTCAGATATTTGACTCCAGTTTCCTATTATTATTTACTAGCAGCCTCATAACCCGGCGTTGCTGAGGAATTCAAACCAAAAAACTCTGTGCAGTTTTGAAAGCTTCAGTCAGCCATCTTAATTGAAAATGGTGTCCGACTGTGAGCCAGTGTGGTGTAGTTGTTAAGAGTGGTTGACTCGTAATCTGGTGAACCGGGTTTGATTCCCCGCTCCTCCACATGCAGCTGCTGGGTGACCTTGGGCTAGTCACACTTCTTAGAAGTCTCTCAGCCCCACTCACCTCACAGAGTGTTTGTTGTGGGGGAGGAAGGGAAAGGAGAATGTTAGCCGCTTTGAGACTCCTTTGGGTAGTGATAAAGCGGGATATCAAATCCAAACTCTTCTTCTTCTTCTGTATGCTGACATAGACAAAAACTGCTTGTTATGCAACGGCTGGTTAAAATCAGTGAAGTCCTTGAAGGTTTTAGTCCACCATCTTGATTCTAAAGAGAATCAAACTGTATGCAAAGATAGAAAGAAAAAGAAAATCCCTGCTCCTTAATAAAGCTCTGAAAGGTTCAGTCCACCATCTCAATTCAAAATGGGATTCAACAACAACAGCAACAAAACCTTCTCTTTTATTTCATGCTCTCTCTAGGGAAGCTCGCCTGGTGTCTTCATTACATATCTTTAGGCGCCAGGCGAAAATGTTTCTCTGTAACCAGGCCTTTGGTTGATTGAACAAGCTACGACCTTTTAAATGTGTTCGTGGGTGGTGGTGGGGTTTATTGGTTTGTTTTATTATGTATTTTGTATTTTTATGTTGTGAACCGCCCTGCAATCTTCGGATGAAGGACAGTATACAAATTTAATAAATGGTAATAATACGAAGAAGAAGCATCGTGCAAAATGTGCTTAAAATATCTTAAGAACTGTCATAACGCATAGCGAACTAACAGACTGCTTTCCAAAATATATAGCAAATATTTAGCTGCCTCAGATTTGGTGACCTCAGCAAGCATGTTGAAATCCCCCAAGACCAACAACCAGGGCTTTTTTTTCCCCAGCCAGAAATCCCCAGAACTCAGTTCCGGCACCTCTCAAGTGAGCTCCATTGCCATTCTAAGAGAACAAGGGAGAAGTTCGTGGTGAGCTCTGGCACCTCTTTTTCTAGAAAAATACCACTGCCAACAACCTAGCCGTTTTCAACACCACAGCCGAGACCCCCACTGTCAGCTCAGACAAGGAAGACTGCTAAGTAGTATTGCAAGAATTTATGTATAGGTTTTGGGGGGTTGCCCCTCGAGCAGATATCATGCACATGCAGCCCACTACCAAAATCAGCACAATCACTTTTGTGACTTTTGTGATTTGTCCCCACAAAACACTTCATCACAGTTTCTTCCTATCTATTCAAAGGGCCTTTGAGGCACAATACCAAATGTAACAATTCACTGATAA